TTGAAGTGTTACAATAAAGGTGTCCAACATTTGGGGATAACCCTCCATTGGCGCAAATTAAATCTTTCACGTGTTCGCGTTGCGCAAAATGTGTAGCGGCGGAAAACAAATGGCCGCTAAGACAGGTGAATGCCAATGTGGATAGTTGCTCTAACGAGTCACCTATGCAAGGTGTGTACAGCCCCTACCGCTTCACTAAGCGCTCACTCGAATTCGATCGTCGCAGGGGGCTTGGAGGAAATATCGTAGAGAATCCTGTTAATTCCCTTCACCTCGCTGAGAATACGCGTGGAGATTTTTTCCAAAATGTCATACGGAATTTTATACCAGCTCGCGGTCATGAAGGAAGACGTTTTAACTGCCCTAAGCGAACAGACATAATCATACGATCGCGCATCCCCTCTTACGCCAACAGATTTGGTGGGCAACAAAACAGCAAAGGCTTGACTGATGTCATTGTACAAATTATAAGCTTTTAAATCCTTAATAAAAATGTCGTCGACTTCTCTAAGGATATTCAATTTGTGTTTATCAATTTCTCCAATAACGCGGATGGCCAATCCAGGGCCTGGGAAGGGATGTCTGTTTGTAATTTCCTCTGGCAAATTTAACTCCTTTGATAATTTTTTCACGTCATCTTTGAACAAATATTTAAAAGGTTCAAATAATTTGAATTTTAAATTTTCTGGCAGCCCTCCCACATTATGATGCGTTTTAATCGTGTCAGATAGCTTCTTCGAACATTTGCTTTCGATAATGTCTGGATATAAAGTCCCTTGTAGAAGATACGTTTTTTCAATATCAATATTTATGTTCTTTACTGCCTTTTCAAATTCTTCGATAAATAATTTTCCGATAATTTTCCTCTTTTGTTCCGGATCAGTAACGCCTTTTAAATTTTTTAAAAAAATTTCGGAGGCATCAATTTTGGTTAAGTTCATATCTGGGAATAGGCCTTTTAAAAATGAGTACACTTGTTCGCCTTCATTTTTCCTTAACAATCCATTATCTATGAAAATGCCATAAAATCTTTCTTTGAATATTTTATGTGTAAACGCAGCAGCGACAGTGCTATCGATTCCCCCAGACATGGCAGCAATTACGTAATGGTCATGTGCGTATTTCTTTATATTATTCAACTCAATTTCGTGATATCGAATTGGATCGAATTTTTTTGTGCATTTACAAATGTTGTAAGCAAAATTGTAAAACATCTGGTCTCCATCCACAGACTCGTACACCTCAGGGTGATATTGGACTCCATATATATTATGTTCCTCATTGTACATGGCGCATATTAAGCAATCATCCGTAGAATTTACAAGAAAAAAATTGTCTGGAATTTTTGTCACTTCATCTGTATGGTTCATCCATACAGTACTTTTCTCTGCATTTTTTATGCCATCGAACAGGATACATTTGCTGCCTTTTCCATGTTCGTCCACCAGCTTGTAATTTTTAAATTTTTCTTCATTCTTATTTTTACTTGTTATTATTTGCACATCGGTACATCCATATTCTGAATTTTTTGACTTCTTAACTTCCCCATTCATCTGAACAGCTATTTCTTGCATTCCATAACATATGGCAAAAATGGGGATTTTTTTTTTCAATAAATATTCTAATACTTCTTTCTTCAAGTGAGGCGCATTCTCCTCATTAACTGAATGGGGTCCTCCAGACAAAATGACTCCTTTAATATTTAACTCTTCTATTTCCTTCACGTCAATGCCATAGTCCCTCGTCTCACTAAATATTTTAATGTTATTTAGACGCTTCACGATCAGGTGGAAATACTGCGAACCGAAGTTCAGCACCAGTATCTTGTCGTAGTCACCGCCCTCCATTACTCAAAAAGGAAAAGAAAAGAAAAAAGAAGAAAAAAAGATGCTCGACGGTTCAGCAGGCTGTGACACAGGTCTCACGTACAAGATCAGAAGAAGCAAAGCTAATGTAGAAAATGTACAGATGCCTTGGTTTTTTTTTTCCAGCCCCGCACCCGCAGCGCCAAGAAGATGAATAGCAGGGTATTATCAAACTGTTCAGCTAATCGTTCCCTGAATTAGTACGCGATGTGGGAGGAGGCCGTTTTTTTATTCTCGCTTGGGAAAAAACGAGGGGGCATTATGCAGATTTGCTAAGGCGGGGATATCTAAGGACAAAGAGAGTATACATATATTAGAGGCATATATTTATATATGTACCAGGGTATATATACAAATGTACGTGCTATACATTTGTGCACAATGGTATATATGCTGCGGCCTCTCTTTCGCCGAGCACTCAGGAGCGATGCTTCTTAATTTGCATCTTGCGGGGAGCAATAACTCATTTCGCAAAAAAGAGAAAAAAAAAAAAAAAAAACGAACACATGGAAAAAGGCAATTTTTTTTTTTTTTTTTTCATGAGGTTACAATTACGCAGAGAGGAACGGAACCCATTATTTTTATTAGAACCTCTTCCGCAGGCATGACCATCGTATCGGCTTTTTTCCAGTTTGTGAGCTTAAAATTTTGTTTCCTTAATTCTAAAAAAAAGTATCGCGGGGAATATAAGCTGTGGAGAGAAACCTGATTGTATAGTAATGACTGGATGTGGAGATGTACTCACCTTACCCAGCAAAAAAATGAACCATGTGTGGGGTGCGTCTCAAATGTAAGGGGCGAAGTTCAAATGGATATTTTTATCCATTTCACAATTATGTACACGTGAATGTAAAGAACGAACTTGCTCCTTTTTTTTTTCCCCCCCCTGTTTTGAGCATCTACTATGAATGTAAAAATGTGAATAACCTTTTTAACCACTGGCGTGGATCCTTAAACACACAGCCATTTATCCCAACTGAGAAAAATTTAAACAGACAAAGAGCCAAAAGTAGAATGGCACAAAATGTACACATATGGGAGTTTATTTTCCCCTCGTTGGACTACACCCCATAATTTATTTTTTCAAATGGTGTCTTCTATGCACTCTCTTGGATGTATTTTGCAGGAGATATTTAGAGCTTCGCCAAAGGCGTCTCGCGCGCATATATCTCCAAGCATATAATTTTAGGTAGGCGCTTTACCAAGGTATCTTTTTCTACCGTTTTTGCCTTTATAAAAAAAAAAAACCTTTTTGCTGGCCTGAAGAGGCACATTTTGGGGAAGCGCCCAGACATATGTGCATGTATGTCCAAATGTATAAATACGCGTATACCCATGCATATGCGTGGAGGCTTATACTTCTCCCTGTGTTTGACGCTTGGTGCTGTCTCCCGCGCAACTGTGTACCCCGTTTTCCTCCCCTTGTGAAAAATTAAGCGAAGTACACATAGGAATGGAAAAATAAGACGACACAAAGGCCACGTAAAAACGGAAACGATTTTCTTATTCGTATTAAAAAAATTAGAAACAAAATTGAAGCCAACAAAAAAAAAAAAAAAAATTATAAGCGCTGCTAAATCGGAGGTATATGTACACTCCATGTGCTTATTTTTGTGTGCTATTATTTTTCCCATACAAAGCATTTGTTCCCATTCATCACAAGCAACTATGTTTCATTTTTTTTTTCTCCATTTTTCCCCAATTGAATGGTAGAAAATGTAATGTAAAAAAAAAAAAAAAATGACTTTAACACGGCTCGTTCCTTTTTCTCCAGTGATGGTTGCATATGACAATGTGGTTTGTGGTCATCTACAAAGGCGAATAACACGTAACAGCGCAATGTGCTTATTTTTGTCTGTCTGTGCGTGCGAGGATTATTCTTTACAAATAAAATAAAAGGAAAAAAAAAAAAAAAAAACACATACTATAGGCACATTTAACCCTTTGCGGTGACGTTTACATGTGGACGCTTGCATAATAGAATAAAGCCGCGGCAGTCTAATTTGTGCGCGTCCCATTTTATGTTTCTTCAAAAAAAAAACAAAAAAAAAACAAAAAAAAAGCTTAAAGCGGGAAGAAAGGCAAATTAAAAGTCAAGTTCAATCGCATTTGGGAAAGAACAAAAAATGAGCAAGGCAAGCTAGACGAGTTTTTTAAAAAATGGAAACGTACCCACAATCGGAAGATCGGGGTTCTGCACAAGTACGGAAAAAAAAAAAAAAAAAAAAAAAAATAGGCAGGTACAGCGACGAAGCTGTAAATAAAAAATAAACGCAAAATTGATACAAAAAATATATGTACAAAGAAAGGAAGCAAAAAGATATGACGCTTTTCTCAAAACAACTTAATTTCTTAAAAGCTGCCTCAACTCATATGCTCCTGTACCTATATATGTATTCCAAAGCTCTGTTTTTAATTTCCATGTTGTACGGGTGATTATGAAAATGAAAAAAGCACAACGCCCACCCTTAACCCATTCCTCACGCGTAATTTTGAAATATTGAAAATTCGCACGAGCTGAACAAGTGAGCGCTCTCTTGGTTAGAACAAGGTGCGCGCTTCAGTTTATCATGCCCACAGTGACACGGATGAGGAGGGGACACATGAAGTACATGAATGAGTACATATGCACATATGCATATGAATATATAAAAACACATATTATGTACGTGGGGAAACAACACCCCCTTCCCTGTACCCCCCGTATCTCCTTCTACGTTTGCCACTCCATCAACACTATTAATTAGAGCCTCTCTTGAGCGTTTCCTTTTATGTCCCATCCTCTGAGAGAAGAAAAAGAGAACCGCATTTGGCGTCCTTCCACCACCACCCCCGTTTGTTTCCGTCACAACCGCATAACAACCATCGTCCATTGGGAATGCACAGGAATAGGCAAATATATACATACCTAATTTTATACTTCGCCAACCGTTGGATCCGTTCTTATCCTTTTCAACTTACAACGATGAAATTGTTTTGCTAATTTTTGTCAATAAGGGTTTTTGTACCTTTTTTTTTTTTTTCTTCTTCTTCTTTTTTTTTTTTTTTTTTTTTAATTAGAGAATTTGTTTTTACGTTATCTTATTTTATACTTTTGTTACATTTTCTTTTTTTTTTTCTTTATTTTTTAATTTAATGGATACGGGGAAAATATTTTTGCCTCCCAACATAGCTCTGCCGTGTAAGTTAAAATGGGCTGTAGATAACAACTCCATAGTTAGCTCGAATCAAATAATTGCATTTGTCATTGAGACGGGGCAGGACATCATTGATGCGGAGCGAACCGGAGAATCGCACACGAATGGTCCCCTCATAGGGCAGTGGCTCACAGAGGAAGGCTCTTCTTCCGAGCGGAGGAATTTCCATTTGGAAAACGGCGAAACGGAAGTTACACCTTATGTAAAATTAAAAAATGGAGAAGACGGAGGGGCAACTCTCTTGGCCAGTCAAAATGGTAACACCTGCGAAAATACTCTCACAAATGTGTGTGAAGAAAAATGTAGCAGTTTAGGAGATCATTACAAAGAGAATCTTCTAAGAAGAGACGCGACAGATGGGGTAGACAAGGGTGTAATGGATGATGTGGCTAACCAAGGTACAATTTCAAATAGGGACACAAAGACAGTCGTACGGTATAACCTCGACTCAGGAAATAATTATTCGGAAGACAAAAGAAACGAATCAACAAATGAAAAGAATAACTTCATTAATTTAATTCTAAACAATAAAAAGAATTGTGACATAAAGAAAAACAGCTATGTCACCTTACGAAGTAACAATCATGGCAGAATCCGTATATTAAAACAGAACCCAAATTTTGAAACAGACGAGTACATCCACATTAATAGCCCCAATGAATTGTTATGCGAAATTAATGATGAAAGGTGCAAGCACGAAGTTATTTTCTCGGGGCTATGTACCAACTGCTTCTTAAGCCAAGAAGAGATTAACAAAAATAGAAAAGAGCAGAATTTTTTTGTGTCTCCTGGGTTTTTAACCAATGAAAAGGAGCTGTATATAAACACAGATAAGGTGATCGATTTGGAGAAGGAACGAATTAGCAATATCATTAAGAATAGAAAATTGTGTCTCGTTCTCGACCTGGACAACACCTTACTGCATGCGTCTTTTTTTGTTATTTCCATTAATATAAACAGCGATGTGATAAACATAACCACGGACATTGACGAGGAGTTGGAGGGTGAACTGGGGTGCGCGGAGGGTAGTAGGACGGGTGGTGGCGGTGTAGAGCAGCCCGGCGACCATTATATTAGCGAAAATGGCGACCCTCTAGGCACCGCCCCACGTGTAACCGATTTTCCGTTTGAGGAAAACTGCGACTCGTTGGAGGGAGGCGCGACGAACAGCAAGAAGGAGGACAACGTGGAGGTGGAGGATGACGCGGGCGGGCTCGGCGTCCAGGAGCTCGATGCAGCTGGCGGTGTAGGTGGAGAGGGGCGACTCCCGGCCCATGGTAATAATAATGGCGATAATAATGGCGATAATAATGGCGATGGTAATGGCAACGATAATAGTGATGACGGCGCGCTGTGCCCCGAAATGAACCAAGAAGAAATGTACTCCATTTTCTGCCAAAAACAAAACAACGGAATGGATCACATGAACAAATATCAGGACATAAAATCAAGTTATGAAAGTTACTGCGATTTTTTGGCCAAAATGAATACCATAAATTTGTTAAAACATAATGGAAAATTTATACATTATGAAAATTTGAAGGACAAAAATATAAAAAAAAAAATTCATAAATTGGAAAATTCTGTCCTCAAAACAAATGTGAAACATCACAAAGGGTCATATACAATTTATTACAAATTAAGACCTGGAGTTATTCAATTTTTACAAGACATGAATAGAAAATATGAAATATATTTGTACACTATGGGGACATTGGAGCATGCGAAATCTTGCTTGTTATTGTTGGATCCTCTGAAGAAATTTTTTGGTAATAGAGTTTTCTCGAGGAAAGACAGTGTCAATGGGTTGAAACACTTGAACCGCATATTACCCACATATCGCAGTGTCTCCCTCTGCATTGATGATAGTGATTACATGTGGAAGGAAAGCAGCTCCTGCATTAAAGTACATGGGTACAACTACTTCCCTGAGATTAACTTTTTGGAGGATATAAAAAGGAAGCCCTACTTTTTAACCAAGTTTTTTGCTATGGCACAGTCATACTTGAATTTCTCTTCCAACCTCTACGGATTTATTAATTTTAAATGCAATGAATATGAAAGGATGAGAATTCATCGTTTTAAAAGCGTACTGTACAATGAGTGCGCCAGTTGGGGCGTTCCTTGCAACGGCCCCGTACCACTGGATGATGCGTACTGCACTCTCGATCAGGGTTGCGAAGGGGGTCCATTGGGGGGAGCCCATGGAGTCGCCCCTACAACATCGCATGGTGACACATCTGAAGTCGGTGAATACAATTTCGAGGAGGACGGCACCTCAGTGAAGGAAGATGGGAACGACAGGGATGACGCGTCAGGTGTACGAAGCGGCAATCCCCCTAGCGTAAACGGCGAAAATGGCGCAAATGGCGAAAATGGCGAAAATGGCGGAAACGGCGAAAGCAGCAATGATGAGCAATTGGACGAGTCCTTCGAAGACAGCTTCATCGATTTAGACAAAGAGTTCGAAACGGACAGTGAAGAGGGTGAAGTCAGCATGATGGATCCCAAGGTGGACAACAGCTCATGTGATTTAAATGCACAAAACGGTTTGGAATTTCTTGAGGACACACACGATTATCATCCCAAGGGGAAAGAAGCATCTCTGCAGCACTGTAGTGGAGAGCACCTCGAAAGTACTTTCAACATAGGAAAGCAAAATGGACTTGTTAAAAGTGACCATGTTTCGAATTTTTATCCAAATGATGGTACGCATGACCGTATGAACAACCCCAATTTGTTCTACATGGAAAACCCGACTGAGTCAAATGTAAATAAAAACTTCTGTCCACAGAGTGATAATAATTTTTTTGTGAATGCAGAAGGTTTTAAAGGAACACTTCCCACCAGCAGTGCCCCCCTGAATGATACAAGTTGTACGCCTCATTTGTACCAATCGGGAGTTGAGCAGTTTGCTGAAGAGGAGGATAACGAGATGGATGCGCAGTTTCAACACCCCAACGAGTGTGAAGATAAAATGAATAGAACAAATAACCACATCAACAGCTATATCAATATGAGCATAAGTATTAACAAACAAATTGATAAAAAAAAAAATAAAAAAAAAAAAAAAAAAACACAAATGGGGAAATGGCTAGTAGCAACGTGAAGCACCTTCCTCGAAGTGATGGAGAATATTCTCCGAACCAATTTGATCATCACGCTCTTCACGTAGGGACATCCCAACGGTTCATTCCGTTTGAGGACGAAATTATTTACAAGTTCATTTCAGAGAAGAACTTTAGAAAGTACGATAACTATGTGGTGGCGTTCCTGCGCAGTTATTTCCAAAGGGGGAGGCTGCCCCGGGGGGGTGAAGCGGAAGAGGAGGGGTTCTCCGATGGGGATGTCAATGAGGATCCTAACGTTGGTGCTGAGGTAGATGGTGAGGTGGATGAGGAGGTAGATGCTGACGTGGGTGAAGATGAGGACGGCCCCGTGGAAATTAAAATGGAAAGGGACGGTCAACTCAGCGGGGAGTCCTCCACACAAGACAACGTAAAGAGGGTAGAAAAAAGAATAAAAAAAACCAAAGTAAAAAAGCTAATTAATTTTGGTAATTTAAGGAAAAGGAAAAACAGCAACCTTAGAACACTCAACAACAGTGATAACCCAGGTCATCCTCCTGCACCGACTCGAAGGGAGAACGATCAAAGCAGTGGCAAGAACGGAGCATCAAATCAAAATGAATACTACGAAAGCTTTTGTATACCTAAAAATTTCAACGAAGGAAATTTTAAAGACAATGATAAACAGCTATATTATTTAACAGCCATATTGGACGAAATACATTACATTTTTTACGAACTTTTTGAGCATTTTAAAATACATAAAACGAATGAAACGAATCAAGAGGATCAAATATACAATTACTTTTTGCGTTATCCGATAGTTAGGACCATTTTGATTGAATTCCGAAGGCATGTTTTGAAGGGTACGTGCGAATATGTTAAAGTGGGGTTCCTTCACATGGGTGTCTCACTTTGCCATCAACGTGGCATTCACAGCGTCGAACTTGTCCATGCGTTTGTACGCACACATATGCATGCATATGTATATATGCGTAATCACGGTTTTGTGAATGTCCCTTCATTTTTTTTTTTTTCCCCCCCTCACCACACAGACTGCACCTTCAACGTTTCGCAACTGTCCGATGAAGTACGCAGGAGCGATTTTATGGATCACATTTTGAAGTTAGGCGGAAGCATAAACAATGAAAACTACACGCACATTTTAACAGTAAACAATTTCATAAAAAATGAGAATTGGGAAGACGCCAAGGTTACAAATCTGATGTGGATTGAACGAGCCTTGTACACATGGACGTAAGAGAATCGTTTTAAATGAATTACTTCATTAACTTCCGATAAGGAAAAACGCATATGTGCATATACATATAGGGGCGGGTGATGGTAGTGTTGTAATGCCTGTATTCCTTCCCCCCCTTTTTTTCCCTTACGCTTCTATTTGACTGCCTCGTTAGCAAATTTTTTTTTTTATGTCAATGTGCCTCCTTCTTACTTATGTTCTTCCCCCCCCCTTGCAGGAAAGTCGACACGAAGCATTACGACATGAGCTCGTGGGAAAAAACGCACAGGAACTTCTGGGACGTTATTGAATATGAAGAAAAAAGAGAAATGAAGTGTGTCGATGTGAGTTCATGTGAGTCCATGTGAGTCCATGTGCATTGAGGAGATGCGAAATGAAAGAATTACTTCCTGCCTGTTTGGCTATCGAAGCACATTTGTGCCTCCACCAACCCCTTGCCCCTTTTAAAGCATTGGGGCAGTTTGCGCGACGTGATTTGTTTTCGCCATCGTGTCATCAGCTCTACACGTCGCTCTTTTTTTCTTTTTTCTTTTTTAACACACGCACGATATACACTCGTGTGAGTACGCATTTAACGTGGGTGTAAGTATGCCCACAATTTGTATGTATGCACGGTGCGGGTACTCCACATACACTTTATTAAAACAAAAGGTTATTAGGAAGAATAATCATTTTTTTTTTTTTTTTTTTTTGTCATGGCTGCGAAGCGAGAATGCCTGTGGTGTACGCATATTCACGCCCCTTTGTTTGCCTCATCTCACTTGTCATTTTTTTTTTTTTTTTTGCCATTTTTTTATGTGTTCCTATTTATCGTTTTCCTGAGGCATTACCACTGGCCTGCATACAAGCCCAGTTGCTGAGCACAGGATTTATGTGAGCCCTGCACATGCAGTTTGCGAACGCAGGCTTATAGTACCAGCAAAACTTTCTCAACTCCCCCACCCAACACCGTATGATGATTTGAAAACATACTGCACAAAAAAGAAAAAAAATAAATAAATTTCCCCACTCCTTGTATGGGTCATGTAACCAGTTGGGAAAACACCCCAATTTATAGCATGGAGCAGGAAGGAGAAACAAAATGCACACATGGAAAGGAAGCGGCAAACAACAGACAAAGAAGCGACAATCGAACTGCGTAAATTGAAACAGCGCCCACACAACCATGCTGACGTCGTCCAACCGTCCAGCGTTGTGCAGGCAATTTTCTCCTTAAGGGACAACGAGGCACAAGTATGAAATTTAGCCCCATAAGGAAAAAGGTGAACTCCTCACTGATCGTGAGCAAAAGAATCCCTTCGTATTTAAAAAAGGAAAAAATTAATTTAAGCAAAAATAATGGCAATTTTGACAAAAAAAATGTCAAATATAATCAAGTACCACAATTTGTTCAGGCAATAATAAAATTTACAAAAAAAAATAAACTCCTACAAGAGGAAGATAACAGTGTAATAAGTAAAAACAAACTCATTTTTTTAAATAATTTGTTGAGTGAAATTCAAAAAAATAAAACAATTTTAACAGCATCTTCCATACATGACATATATCGTTGTCTGTACAAACTCAATTATTTAAAAATAGACGTCATATGTACATTGTTTAGTATACTCATAAATAACACAATAAATTTTTCCAAAATAAGTGGCTATGTTAATTGCGATTTTAAGGAACTGATAAACATTACAAAATTTTTACACCACTTTCAGAAATTATGTAATTCAAATATTCAGGCTATTATACAAGACAGCCATGACAGTGTTGGTAACCTGCGAATTGTGCACAGGTACTTGAGGGATCATGGGAACAAAACTGGCCCCTCCCTTGGCGGTTCATATAATGGTGCACAAATATACACACACGTATATAACTACATTGCAAAATATGATAGGGTTGATAATGTAGATATTCTTTTATATTCCCTCATAAAGGGGAAACGAAATAATGTTGTTACAGGGGGGGAAGTGACGACTGGTGGGTGCACTCGTCTTGGGGAGGGACCTTTCTTAAATAACCCCAGCGGGGCTTCCCATAAAGAATGCTCCCTGAGGGGCTGCACAAATGATGAAGTTGGATATTTGTCCTCGAATGGGGCGAACCCAAATGAGGGCAGCAGCATAACGGACGAGGCGGCGCAGCAGGAAAATCACCACAGCTTGACCAACACGGAAGAGGCGAAGAAGACGCTGCTAGTGGACTACATAAACTCGTTTTACAAACTAAACGATATGTTCACCTTCCTTCTAAATAAAGTGTTAACATATTTCAACGAACACGCACAGAGCTTTAATTTGTACCATTTAAAGCTGCTGTTTTTCTTTTTGGGGAAGTTTCAAATGTTTGACGCACACTTGATGGAAAAAATCACCAACAGGATTATAGAAGAAATTGAAACGATAAAAACAAATCCGAAGCTTCTACACGACGATACCTCCATAGAGGAAAGGAAAATGCATAACTATGCAAAAAACAGAATTAAAAAACTCAGAAAAAAATATGTCAACACATTTATTAAAATAGACTCGAAGGAATTCCTAACCCTTCCATACACAATCGGTCTGTCCATGAATACATACTTTAATAACTACCTAATTGAATATGTAAATATTTATATACTTAGTTTAATTAACTCCAGAGTGAACTGCGACATGGTAAGTTTTACCTACTGCCTCGTAGGGTATAAGTACATTATGGTGCACTTTTTTATTTTGTACAATATATATCTGTTTAAAGAAAAATGTATGAAGAATTCAAAACTGTTGGAGAAATATAGCGTCTTTTTGCGACGACTGGGTAAGGATGTCGCTCTTTCTGGAACTGGCCACTTCGGGCGCACGCACGCTGCAGGGCAAAGTGAAGAAGAAAAGAACGATTTCCTCCTTCGCAACAGTAATATGAACCAGGATGAACCTACAGAAAATATGTTCAGCAGGGAAGGAGAATTGACCAATCATGGTGCCGACCTTAAAATGTGTAAAGGTTCAAACGAAGAAAAAAACTGCATAGAAACTTTTTCCTGTACCCAACCAGACCACATTGGTGAGAGAGACAAAATACAGTGGCACACAAACCCCGAGCAAACTTTCAACATGCTCCTAGGCGAGTTCCAAATGAAAGTAGAAAATATCTTCCTAATAAACTTGGACAAACATTCCATGCAACAATCTTATAATAGCGCACAGCTGCGGAAATTTTATTTACACTACAAAAAATTATTCGAAAAGGTATTCAATTATGCCATTTTTCTACTAAGCAAATATGAACCTGAGGAAATGTTGCGCATTTACAAAAATTTGAAAGCCCAGGCGCTGAACGACCAGGTCGTGAACCAGCTGTACGTGGAAGTACTCTATGAGAAAGTTATTTTTAATTCGGGAAATGAAAAAAAAGTTTCAAGTTTGTTACGGTGCGTTTGCGGTGAATAAGGGAAGGGGGGGGGGAAAAAAAAAAAAAAAAGAGAGCCAGCAAAATGAGGCAGAAAGATGGGCCAGAAAAATGGACCACAGAAATGGGCCAGAAAAACGGGACAGCAAAATAGCAGCGAAACGTGGAAACAAGGGAATGTTCCTTAAAAAAAAAAAAAAACGCGGGTTAAAAATTGTCATCGGCAACACATGCATTCAGAGATTGGCTTCTGCTCATCAGTGAGTAGGTAAAGCATACACATAAATGTATGCAATTGCGCGCGCGAGGGGGGGTAAGTAACACACATACGTACACATGTATATACATGCATATATATGTACATATAATCGCGTACATATGTGTGCTTGGCCGCGAAAGGAGTAGAGAGGTGGGGCTCCACAGAGAAAACAACTTCAACGTGGTGCAAGACAATTCCACGGAGATAGAAATATAAGTGAATAGAAAACATCAACAAAGAATGAGCAGTAACGATTGCAGTGTAAGTCAGTACATGCAGGACGGGCGGAAGGTGCAATCGCACGCTGCCTCAAGGCATCGCTTGTACGTGTGCTCACGCACGTGCAGACGGCATGAAGGGGAATAAAATTCCAATGAACATTTTTTTTTTTTCACAACAAGACACTGTAAAAAAAGTAAATGAATTTGTATCTCACGAAATGGGATTTTTAGGTATTCAAACGCGGCTTTATTCGAATGCCGGCAGGCACGCGTCCGCCATGTGTTCATATAAGTGCGTACTTATGTACGTATGTATATGTATGTATGTGTTCTCCTTTACACACATTTGTACATACGCTCGTGTGCATCTGTAGACGGGCGGGGAACATCACTCATATCGCTCACAACGCGCTGATCGCGCACTACGCACGACAACATCATATGTACCCATCACGCATGTTCGTCATTACGAATTCAAAAAAAACGGGGGCGGCACCTCCACTCCGCGCGCAGGTATTGTTCAAACCGTTAAACGATGCACATATATATGCATATAAATGTATTCACCGATAGTCCTCTTTAAGCGCCATAACAAATTCAACAAAAAGGGGGCAACAATTTGCAGGCGAAATGCAGGCCACGGATCTATATGCCTCATATATGCTCCTGAATGTGCCTGCGTAAATATACGTGTTGCTGGGATAAGGGGAAACGGAAGCGAACGCACACACGCACCCTTCCAAATGTGCGTCCTCCGTTTACTCCTTACTCATGCAGCGATTCCCTTACCTCCTGCGCTTGCTATTTTTTTTTTTTTTCGGGGTCTGTCCTTCCCCCCATGCTACACCCAAACAGTACGAAAAATTAATCAAAGCTATGGGATGAAATTTTAAACATGTCTCCTCCTATATGCTCATTAAAGCGCAACTTGTAAATGATGCCATTGGAGCAAATAACGATAATGCAATTTTGGTCATTTACAAAGGCACAAATGGATGAAATTTTCTTCCCAGGGATTCTGTACGTGGCAAAACTCCATTCGCTATTTAAGTAGGGATGACATGGTAACAAACATTTGAAATTTGATTTTTTATTTTTACTCTCTTTTTCATAATTCAGTAAAGCTGGTGGCGATAAATTTTTGCCCTTACATATAATATCCACTTTTCGTAAAGGTCTTTTTTTTTTGTATATAGAAAATACATGTACTGTATTTGTACTTGACGTTAAGCATAGCCAATTGTTATCTTCACTAATATTTAGGGAGAGAATTTTGGCATTTTTTGTACCCCTTCTGAATTCATTTAGTAGAGTTCCATCAAATGTATTAAACAGTCTGATGATGGTCCCCTTAGTGGATGCAGTGACCAATAATTTTCCATCATTGCTTAAGTTAATACATGCTACTGAATTGTCATGGGCATATATACTCAAATTTGTTTTAAAATTTATATAAGGCAATTCTTCATGAATATTTTCACTGGAATTTATCTCGAAGATATGTATATTCACGCGACCCTTTATGGGGGATAAATATGCTATAATAATATTCTTATCAATATTGGACAAGCAACATAAACCTGAGACATTTTTTGCTGTGTTTAATGTTTCTAATAAAATAATATCTTTAAGTCTGTATATACATAACTTATATTCTAAAATGACTACGATGATTTCTCTTAGTAATCTTACTCCAATGATGTTGGAAGAAAATGTTAATTTTGCTATTTCTCTCATTTGCCTATCATCCCATATGATTAAAACGTTTTTGGCCCATTTTCCTTTCTTATCATTTTTGTTCCCTGTGATGGCTAGGATGTTGCATCGGTATAGCATCTCAGCTAAGTACAGTCCATTCTTATTCCGGTCGGTTAAATCTGCAGGATGGGGAAAAAAAAAAAAAAAAAAAAAAAAAAAAAAAAAAAATTCAGTGGAGAGGGTATCATGCACACGGGTTTTACCCATATGAAACGGGGTCCCCCTGACTTCCACATACACAAGGTAAAATTATTCCTAATCATGCGCTCATTCCACATTACGCGCACACGTAAGTAAGCATATGTGTACTACACTCTTCTGCGCACTTGTGCGGATTCTACGAAATAGGGTGGGGGGTGGGGGAGAAAAGGGGTGCCCCAAAACTTACCTCTACTATACGTCTGAGTAAACGGATCTGTGTTGTAAATCTTAAAACCCTTCTCATTGGCCATACACAGGCAACCATAGTCCTGATTAAAAGCTATATATCTATTATTATCTAGTCTCAGCGACACCATTTTTGCTCTTTTCTTTTCTTTTTTTTTTTTTTTCAAAAAAATTGAACAGTCATGAAGGGAACAATAGAACGTGCGCGTGGTGACATGCCAGTGGCATCTAGTGGCCAAAAATTAACCTACGCGTACATGCATCTAACAACAGGTAGGCGTACAGGGTTAGGTGTAACACTGTGTCGTCCCGTGTGGATGGCGACCTACAATGGGCAGCATTCAATTCACGTACAGGTCAATACGTGCAAAAGCCAGCATGCAGGAAACGTTTATGCGCGCAAATACATATGTGGCACATAAAAGTAACACCAAGTATCGACAGAGGATGACGAAGGGAAAAGCCTAAAGCCAAATGTTTATGAAGCATACATTACTTTTTCACAGTGCCTCTCTGTTCTTATTTCAAATAAAGAAGAAAAAAAAAAAAAAAATTCGTTGCTTATATTCTCATCTACATTATTTAAAAATTTCTCCTCCAAAAAAAGTATTAGAAGAAAGAACATATATATATGTAACAATCTTATCAATCACAAATGGTAAATAATGAAAAGGAAAAAAAAAAAAAAAAAATTGTGATTTTACAAAAAATGGGCCACTAAAACAATTTTCGAAACTTCTAGGGTGCAAGTCCGCCTCTCTCTCGATCGGTCAAAAATGTACAAATAAAAATATGTATAAATGTATATAATTTGCGCAAAAAAATTAAAAACTATAGTGCAAAAAAGGGTTAAAAAATAAAAGTTGTAAAATTTGCATTTTAAAAAAGATGTAAAAAAACTGCACAAAAAATGTATACAATGTTGCGCTAAAAAAAAAAAATAAAATAAATTAAATAAAATGCAGTTCAAAAAAAATGTAAGAAATTTGTACGCTTTTATTTATGCATATGTTGCATGTGATTTGTACGCAACCCGTATTAGGGCGATGGGCGGCACGGAGTCGACGCACTCTGCGCAATCGGCACCGAGGGAGGGGTATGCCATGAGAATAATATTGTATTACTTGCGCACTAAAATGGGAATCGCGGCGTGGCGGGCCATTGGGCAAGTATTATTTTTATATATATGTTATAAAAATTGTGCTTGGTCTGAAAAATAGGGTTGCTACGCGGGCGGAAAAATGGAAAGAAAACCCAAGAAAAAAGAGCACTGGGAGGAGAGGAAAATGCTAATAAAAATTACAAGAAAAAAGCATAAAAAAACGCAAAGGAGAAAAAAAATAAAAATGTGAGAGATCCAAATGTTGGCACAGGATAAGTAAAAGCGGCGAAAAATGCCACATTTTAATGTTCAATTAATAATTCACCAAAAAAGCGCCTTTTTGTAGCGTCAAAAAAAAAAAAAAAAAAAAAAAAAGGCGTAAAGAGGGAATAATATGTGGTGTGCAATCCGTTATAAGCTAATAAGTACACTTATTTACGCAAAAGGTAGAAGTATATTTTTCTTTTTTTTTTTTTTACTCCTTGTATGGGCTGCGTGCCATTTCCTTTTGTGATGTGTCGTGATATGACAAACGTAAGCTCCAGCCCTTACAACAGTTGTTCTCCGCCACTTTCACGAGAGTAACCGTGTATGCTTATGTCAGCATAAGTGTTCGTACGTTACCTACCTATGTGTATACCTTTGCATACACATTTTTGCGCACATATAAAAGTAGGGCGATGCTGTATAGTTGGCGGAGCAACCAACCCAGTATGCATTTTGCCGAGACAATTATTTTTTTTTCCATGAAGGGAAAAATAATTTATAATACAGGTACCCATTTGACCATTAATTAAAAACGTTTGTGTAATATACAAAATGCAAAAAAGTGTATGATGATATTAAATATGAACGACTGGAGAATCTTTTATGTTTGATTTCGCCACGAATGGTGATGCGGTTTATAACGCACGCAGAGTGTTTAATTGATGTGTATATGCGGAGCTCTATATTTGTCACTCTGTACTTGTGTACCCGTCGTATGGACATTCCTCCTCCTTTTTTTCATTCACCAGAAGACGCATTACAAGGAATACTCTTCTATTTTGTCGCGTCGTCGAGAAATTGAAGGAATTATGAGTAGTATATATTCCCCTTTTTTTTTGAGTTAATTTTTTGGTGTTTTTTTTTTTTTTTTTTCCCTCCTGCCCCCTTGCTTCATCCTTCCGCCCATATATACGCGCTTGTAATGTACAAGTTCCTGTTAGACACTTCTGCACATGATAAATTCGTTTTTTTTTGTGATACACAAATTCGCCAATATGTCCCTTTTCGCAAAACGGTGAAATGTGACACATTT